GGCGCGCTGGTCTTGGGAACAGATGGGAGGTGCCATCCATGGGAATGCCCTGTTCTGCTGTAGGAGGAAACCAGAACAGCAACACACGCCAGCATCCCTCCGCAGCACACCCCACGGCACTGCTCCTGGGTGCCCCGGCAGGGTGCTACCTTACCCGGTTAGGGAACCACCACCATTTCCATCCTGCTCACCTTGACCAGGGTTCTGTGTGTCCTCCCGTCCCCAGCCACCCCTGGCTCCTCGCTCCCATGCCGTGCCACCGTGCTGGAGTGGAGGGAACGGAGCAGGGCCCGGCTCCTGACCCTGCCAGCACCTTCCTGCCCGTGACCTTCCCAGAAAAACATCTTTGGAAACAGTTGGAGAAGTGATACTGACCCTCTGTCTTTCACAACACCATCAGCTTTTGATGTAAACAAGAGAGTTCATGTGTTGGGCAGATACTGAGAAAGTCACTGGCCAAGGAAATAACAAATAAATACCAAAAAGAAATAAATAATAAAAAAAGACAGTATTTTAGCTGCGGGGGTCCTTCTTGGAAAATGGGATAAAATGCCTCTCTCAGAAAAAGGCAGTAAACAGTTTATGTCCTGGAACAGCCATTTTACAGGGTGGGTGGCTTCCTGGCGTGTCAGGAGGTGACACGCCACCAGCCAGCACCAGGCGTTCCCAAATTCTGTGCCTTTCCACAACACCGAACGGTTGCTTAAAAAGTTCAATCCCCTTACCACTTATTTCTGTCTGCATGGAAACTAAATCCTTCCTCCCCGGGATGTGGGACAGACTGTGGGGAAGCTGCTCGGAGAAATCTCGGAGGCTCCTGCTAATGTCTGAGAACACAGAGCGAAGGCTGAAAGGCAGTTAGCAACAAAAGGCACCGCCGCCTTTCCCGAAGCGACAGGAACGAAACGCAGAATATAAACAAGAGAAGTGGGGAAAAAGCTATTTACATTTTTTAGAAGTTTGACTCTTTTTCTAAATTAGCTCATGCATTACCAAGCATGTAATTACCAGTGATGTAATTTAAGAGGGCACCAGCAGAAACACAGAAAAAAGCAGCTGGTCCGTTATCTTTTTGTCTTCGTGTCTTGCCTCGACATCTGTTTCATTTTTTGTGAAGGCACAACTTTTACGCAGCACTATTTATTGCAGAAAGAATATGCCTTTGGGGGTTTCAACCACTTGCATGAACCTCCGCAGGGGTCCTGAACACCTTCCACTTCTGCTGGGGCAGCGATGGTTTCTCCATTTGCAAAATCCCTCCAACCCATTTGTCATTTTTCTTAACTCTTAGCTTTTTTTTTTTTTTTTTTTTTGTGCATACAATATTGAGCAATAATAAACAGAGGAGGATGAAAACTGCTGCAGCTTGAGAAGTGAGCTCAGGATATGATTCCTCCTCACCGGATGCCTGGAAGATGTCACTGAAATTCTCTCTCCCTTAGTGCAACCCGTGTGGAGCCAATATGAACTCCCAGCAAAGTGCTTAAAAACCCATTATTTATAATAACTGTTAAATGATGAGACATTGTTTACCCAGATCGCAAGATAAATTCTCACTTACAGAATGCTTGCCTGACCGTCCTGAACGTCATCTGGTTTTTATTTAAATGCAAAATGTAATTAGGCTCCCAATAACACAGCAGAAGAATTCAATAAGATAGGGCTTTTCACTTACAGTTTAATATTAACATTTTCCCATAAATGTTAATGAATAAAAGTCTACTGTTTTATACGTTATCCATGGTGGGGGGGGACAGCAGGCTAGGAATGGAAGGAAAGCTAATCTTTTCGTACCACGAATGACGATATATACCTCAAGGAGAAGTGACTGTTCCCAGCACTGTCGGGGACCTGGCCACAGCACTGCTTCCTCCTGGGGCACCCACCAGACCTGGTCCCACGGGACGTGCTCCGGGGAGTCTCCCTCCCCATCAGTCCTCCCCCAGCCAAAATCCCCCTTGGGTTTTTTCCTCCTTTTCCCCTTGCTCTCTCTTCCCTCGTCCTGCTTCCTGCCCGACCATCTCCACCAGACACTCTACGAGCATCAGATAGTGGGCGACATCACTGTTAAGCAAGGCTACGGCCCCAAGCCCTGATATTCTTAGACTCCACCATGGATAGCAGGGCAAGATTATCGGAAAAATCAGGCTACTATTTGTCTGATATTCTGTTAGAGAAATGCGCAGGGGTGATGAGAGGTGATGGCAGGGCTGCAGACTACCGTACGATAGGAAACGACAGAGCATCTGAACGGGCGGGAGAAAGCCCTTGGAGCTGGGGGAGGCGACACTTTGGGAGTCCACCGCAGGACTTGTGCCTCCTCATGTCGAAGTGTGAGGAGCAGATCCCGTGGTGGAAGAGGGGCCTCTGCGGCCGAGAGGACTGAAAGCTGCAGGGCCAAAGGGTTGGCTCACACTGGAACTTTTAAACCGCTTTAGCTTTTGACCTTCCATTTATTGCTGGGGGTTTTGCTGTGTTCATTTGTATTTTGCTGTTTGTTGACTCATACTTCATTGTATCTCTCTAATAAGAAGAGCTCATTTAATAGTTCAACTGCTTAACAATTTACTGTATAAATGGGTTTCCATTCTACAGCCTCCTTTCCCCTCTCCCTGGTGAGGGCCACGCATAGTTTATGAGAGCTTTGCCATGACTTGGGCCATCGTCCTTTCACAATCCAGGGAAGGGTAAATCCCCTCGGCAGCACCGTGACGTTAATACTCTGCATGGGCAGTGTGGGGAGCTGGTGAATTGGCCACACACCATTTTAACATAACGAAAGGCTCAAACTTCCGAAGAGTTAATGCAAGATGTGCAGGAGATCTGCAGGAAGCAAAACCAGGAGCAGTGTCAGCCTAGCCATCCCCGAGAGCGGGACCCCGGGGCGGGAGCGGGGTGGTGGCACGCTGTCGGGCTGGGCACACAGCCTGCCCTGAGCTGTGACTCGTCCTTAACCCGAGGGTCACGGGAGTCATGTACGGCTGTACGGGGATGTCAGGGCACGCTGGCCTTCCTGGGGCTCAGATGGCAACGCTGGAGCAGAGACTGAGGGGCACAGAGGCGCCAACAGAGCTGAGCTGAGCCTCGCACCTTCCCCCCCAACCAAGCCAGGCTTTAGGAGCAAGCACCAGCCAATGCTGCACACACCTTAAAATCACTCCTGCAAAAATCAGCAAAATACCAAAAGGCTTTCTGGGGCTGCTGGGCTTAGGAGGAGGGAGAGAAACTGTCTTGTCTTTATTCTGCCACCACCTCAGCAGCTGCAACAAGTTTTGGCTCACGAAACAGCTGTAAAAATACCAGTCCTGGTTCAAATGCTGGGAGATGAGGGCTCTTATACTTACTAAGAGAGATATGCTTGCCGTCAGTCACATCCTACATAAAAATACCATGCAAAGACTCCTAAAAGGAATAACAAGGTAATTATAGAAACTAGAGATGGAAAAATCCTGTAGTCTCCTAGTCTCCTGCACCCTGCTCAGGATGGGACTGCTCGGTGTGGGGCAGGCTTCAGACCTCGGACTTTTAAAGGGAAGATTTAATAAACACTGAGAAATGTTTCTAAATATTTAGAGAACGCCAAGTAACAGATTTTCAAGCCAAGCTGTAAAAAATAAGAAAATGAATTTAGAAAACTGTTAAAAAACAACAGCTTTTGCGTGCACCAAAATATATTTCCTCGAATAGCAAGCATCACCTCAGGGGCATGATGCTGCAAAGAGAGCAGTAAGGATGCTCAGACCCTTGCAGAATCAGGCCTAAATGAATACCTACCGTGGCTTTCCTCTTGTTCCCCTTGAAATCAATAGCAGAAGCCTCAGTGATGCAAAAAGCTTAATGCTTTAGCAGGTACTCAGCAAAACAGTCGAATATGAGCAAAGCCAAGCTAGACAGAAGGGAGCTTTACATTTTCCTGTGAAACACTGGAGGTATTGCAGTAGGAAAATTAATTTGCTTAATCATTAGGAGGAAAAAAAAAAAACCCACAAACCAAAGCAAACCAAAACAAAACTCAACACAGTAACAAATCTCTAAGGGGAAAGGGAATTGTTTCTCTGTTAACTACTTTGAGACAAAGCGCTGGAAGAAAAATGTCCAGTTCCAATAATGTCATAACCCGATTACAGCCTGCACAGAAGAGCTAAAACGCTTGCAGAACAATGAGTAAGAAATTAAGTTTTAAATTGAGTGCTGGCCCTATCTTGTGTCACTTCTTTATATTCTAGGAGAAAGGACACGGCTGAGCTCATTTCATATACAGCAGCGTTGAGATGCCTGGATGCAGACATCATTTAGTCATCTCATATATGTTCCTCCCCATTTCTTTCTCCTGGAGGAATGACAAATCTAGAAATGTGACTGCACTTTGTTTTATTATGATATTGATTTTTCTGCAAAGGGAAAGTGCATTTATCCCCCAGGTCTGTGCGCTGGCAAGAAAGGGTTAACAAAATGTTTATCACAAAGCTGGCTTCAGAGTTGAAAGTAATGTGATCAGTAATGAATTTTGTGTTACATTAGGTTGTATAAATGGACAGACAAGCGCAGACAACAAGTGGCCAGGAGTCGGGGCTAATCTAATGATGTAAAAATAGAGACAGCACCAATTATACTTGGGGCCAGCTCAGAGCTCCTGCAGGGACTGCAAATGAATAGGTACAAATCAAATTACTGACTAATAGACGCACTACAAGAGAGGGCAGTCAATGCTAAATACATTAGGGCCTTGTGACCTCTCTGCTCTGAACAGCAGAATCCTAAATTTGACTTAAAAAAAAAAAAAAAAATCAAAGAAACTCTTGTTCGTTTAAGGAGAGAAACAGAACAATGTTATTTGTGAAATGATTTGAGACACTTAGATATTTTTTGTTTTGTTCCCCTATGACCACATTACGTATATAACCCTTCGGAAGCTGACAGAGGGTTTGCTTTTAAGAACAAGGAGAAATATTCTTTGTGCAAAAGTTAAGACCTGATAACAATACAGTTATGTTACATACCAAAACATTTCAAAGCCATGTGCCTCTTTGTGGTGATGTTTTTTACTGCTACTTCACCGGCTGTGTCTGTATCAAAAATAAAATATTTCTTAAAAAAAATGCCTTGACTTAAGAAAAAGAAAAAGAAAAGGAATCTCCCCACACCACAATTAATAATAAGTAAATGCAGTCGATCAACTTGTTATCAAACGGCAGAAAGTCAGAGTTGTTTCATGGTATCGGTGCTCCCTTTAGAAACAGCAGCAGATTTTTTTCTACAAACAGCAACGAACCTAAATTCATACCAGAAACATTTGTGGTATCAGCATTCATTGCCACCCCCCCTCCCCACACCCCCCC